TTGTTTTTGTGGACAGCATCAACCATATTCATCAACTAATCCCTATGGAAATAACTGTTAGTGCCAAATGAAAGTCTCAGAACCAGACAGAACCAAAGTATCAGTTGTTCTAGATATGAAAGTCAATTGAAATGTTCTGAAGCTGCTTTGATTAAGAAGTTCATCATGTTTTGAAATAATGGTTCTGAAACAGTAGACCTCATTGCTCTTTATCTGTGTATATATATGCCTTTTTATAATACCCCTATGAATTTTCAAAATTTCAAAATTTGAACAAAACTGTATTAAATGCATTTATTGAAGTGTGATATTTAATGGGTTCATTCTTATGGAGTATTATATATGCAAATGATTTGTTGTAGTTCATGAAAATATATTAAAAATTAATATAAAGTTTACCAGTGCTATCTTTGTGAAGTCTCCTAGGTAGCTAGGTCCCAATTTGAGCCTAAAGATAACGAAAAAGCAAGTAAAATGTACATAATTTGTAATTCATCAAGTATCTTCAAATACCTTACCTTACTGTATGAGACAAATCTGGTATCACTTGCCAGGGGAAAGATTAGTGAAACATCTAAACATAAGGCTGTGTGATCCTACATTTCTCACAAATAGTTTATCATCTAGTAGTAGACGATTTTACTAATTGAGATAAAGTGAGAAATTATGGATGCATGATCTTTTAGTCTTTAAAGTGTCATTGGGCTATAAAACGTAATAAAGAAAAAATTTATGATATAATGATTGTTTTTTTTTCTTTTTGATTAGAGTTATCCTAGTAGGTGCGAAATGGCATCTCATTGTGGCTTGATTTACATTTCTCTAATGACTAATGATGTTGAGTATCTTTTCATGTGTTTATTTGCCTTCCATAAATTTCTTAGATGTTATATCTATTCAAATATTTTGCCTGTTTTAAAAATTGTTATTAATTTTTGATGAATTTTGATAGATATTTATATATTCTAGATACAAGTCCCTTATCAGTCATATGTGTTGTATTTTTCCTCTTAGTCTTTGTCTTATTTTTTCATTTTTTTGGAGTCTTTTATGATTGATCATAGGAATTTATTGTCAATCTCAATGAATTACTGTCCTGTGTTTTTCAGTGATATTTTTTCAGATCATTATTTTCCTTAGTACATGTTTATAGTACAGAATATTTACATTCCTTGTGTGGAGTTGGTACATGTATACAGCACATCTGAATTCCATTTTTTATCTCTTTTCCTTTCACCTCTTCCCTCCCTCCACCTCTTGGTCCCCTTCCCCTTTGAGAAAGATCCATCTCCCTACTTCCTATTATCTATCTTTTATTTTGTTCTTTATTTTACTTTGGGTTTCTCATAAAAGAGAAACCATGGATATTTAAGCTTGTATGTCCTATTTATTTCACTTAACATTATGTTTCAAAGTGCATGCATTTTTGTATAAATGACTCAAGTTATCTTTCTTTATGGCAGAATAGTACTTCGTTGTGTATAAATATCACACTTCCTTCATCCATCTGTTGATGGATGTATAGAGCCCTTCCAAGATTTAGCTGTTATGAATTATGCTGCTATAAGCATAGATAAGTATCACTGCAGTAGAATGTTTTTAAGAGCAGAAGTTTTTACTTGGGATGAACTATAGTTAATACATTTTTTCCCTTTTGTGCTGTTAGTGTTGTATCTCAGAACTCTTTGCCCAACCTAAACTTACAAAGATTTTCTCATATTTTTGCTCTGGAAGTAGAGTAGGTTTAGGTTTTGTATTCAGGTTTATGATAAATTTGAGTTACTGTTTATTTATATATAGTCTAGGGTGCATGTGGGTATCTTAGTTAGTCTAACATTGTTTGTTGAAAAAACTATACTTTCTTTACTGGACTGTATACACTTTTATCAAAAGTGGTTTCATTCTTAGACTGCATTCTCTCTGTACCATTGATCTGTTTATTTTATATCAATCTCATACTGCTTTGGTTATTTTTAGTTTTAATGCTTTGAAGTTTGATAGTGTTAGGTTTCCAGTTTTGTTCTTTAAAATGTTATTTTGGCTATTCTTTATTCTTATATTATCCCTGTGAATTTTGTAGCTCACCAATTTCTACCAAAAAATCTTGGTAGAATTTTGATTGGGATTGTGTAAAATCTGTAGGTTAATTTGGGGAGAACTGAATTATTAATATTGAGTCTTCAGACCCATCAAAATGGTATGTTCTGTGCTTTGTCGTGAGTGAATCTTGAAGTTCTGTGGGGCTGAGGAAGGACAGCGAGAGGATAGGAAAAATAAAGATAAGAGACAAAGTCTGAGGTCAGGTAGATCTCTCTCTCCAAATAGGAGGAAAGAAGCTGCTCAACCACCTTAGGGGCATTTATTTATACATATGACAAAGTTGGTGTCTTGTGTCAAGCTTTGCCTAGCAACTGATTGCTTGGATTGCCTGGGGGCTTGGTATTCTCTGGACTGAAGCAGCTTGTATTGCCTGGAGCATTCTTTGTTCTTGGACCTGCCTTACCTTGACCCCACTACAGTCCTGTTTATTCTTTAATTTTTCTCAGCAGTATTTTGTAATTTTCAGTTTGTAAATCTTTTGTCAGAATAAAGTTCTGAAATATTAAGTTAAAAACAAAAGGCCTGCCACATGCTTGTAATCCAGCACTCGGGAGGCTGAGGCAGGAGAATTACTGTGATTTCAAGGCCAGCCTGCACCAGAAAGTGAGTGCAAGGCCAGCCTGAACTACATAGCAAAACCCTGTCTCAAAAGGACAAAAAAAAAGACCAAATCTTTGGTCAGAGTTTTCTAAGTGTTTGAATTTATGTTTTGGTATTATAAATGTACTTTTAAAATTCTAATCTTTAATTTTTTGATGCAAATGTGTAGGAATATAATTTTGATATTTTGATATTCTGTCCTTTAGCCTTCTTAAACTCATTTAGTAGTTCTAGTAGCTTTTTTGTAGAGTCTAGTAAATTTTCTATGTGGAGGATTATATTTGAAAGTAATGTTATTATAACACTTTACTATTAGATTTTAAGACTTACTGTATTGGTATAGTCATCAAGACAATATGGTACTGGCATAATGAAAAGACATATCAACCAGTGGAACAGAATATGGTTTCTGAAATACATATCATTGTGTGGATCAGCTCAAGTTACTATAAATAAACACTATAGACTAAGTGGTTTAAACACCAGATATTTATTTCTCACAGTGATGGAGGCTGGGAAGTCCAAAGTGCAGATTTGGTGTCTAGTGAGAGCCCTCTTCTATTTTGTTGATGGCTGATTTCTCCCTGTCTCATAACATGGTAGAACGGAGAAAAGAGGAAGCAGACTCTCTGATATTCCTTCTTATAAGAGCATTAATTCCATCATGAGGACTGCACATCATGACCTAATTATGCAGCCTCCTAATGCCATCACATTGGGAGTAAGGGTTTCAAACAAATTTTGGGAGGACATGCAGTCCCTAACAATAGTCAGTTGGTGTTCAGAAAGAATAAAAGTAATTTAGTGGTCAAAGAAAGGTCTTTCAACAGTGGTGCGAGAATAAACATTCTGAAGAAGTAAATATTTTTTTTTTTGTCTTTTTGAGACGGGGTCTCACTATGCAGTTCAGGCTGGCCTTGAGCTCACTTTGTAGCCCAGGCTGGCCTTGAACTAGCAGCAATCTTCCCGTCTGAGCCTCCCAAGTGCTAGCATTACAGGTATGTGCCACCATGCCCAGCAGAATAAGTAAATCTTGATCTCTGCTTTATACCACACATTAAAGAGCTGTCAAAAGACTAAATGCAAAAGCTAAAACTATGCAGAAAAAAAAAGGAAAAAAATTTGATCTTGGGCTGTCCTATGCATCTAGGATGTTTAGCAGCAATCTCTAGCCTCTGTGCACTAAATGCTAGTAGCACAAACCCCTGACTTCCCTAGTTGTGACAATCAAAAATGTCTTTAGACTTTGGAACTGTGTTCATGACAACTTTTCTTGTTGCTCATGAGACCTAGTACAGTTTCTCTGACTTTCTCTGGCCATTTCTGCTCTCTCTTGGTCCCGTGCAGTTGTAATTCCTTGTGGAAATAAGGAGAGTTTTTAGGTTTAGCTGTTTTTGGTCTATGTAAATAAGCCTTTTTAAAAAAGAATACAGAGCAGTTAAATGTTAAGCTATAAAATACATGTTTGATAAGAGCTAACTAAATCCAAATTCAAGAGGGTTATATCTAATAAGAAAACAGTCTTCCCCTTCTGTGTATTTTTCCAGAAGAACTGAAAACATCATACCACAGCAATATATGTGCACCCATGTTTGTAGCAGCGCAATTTGTCATAGCTAAATCTTAGAAACAACTCAAATGCCCATCAACTGAGGAATGGATAAAAAAGATGTGGTATTTTTATACAATGGGGTATTACTGAGCTATAAAGAAAGATAAACTCGAGGCTTTTATAGGTAAATGGATGTTACTAGAGACTATACTCGTAAGTGAAATAAATCATACTCCTGTGTGTAAACATCATATTGTCACCCTAGTGTAAGAAACTGAAAGAGTAAGCAAAATCCAAAAATAGAATAGGTATCGTGAAAGGGAAAGAAACTATTCAAAGGAAAAAACAACTGGGATTCAGGAAAGGAGAAAAGAAAGAAGGGAAGGAAAAAAAAATATATATATATACACACAAGATAGCTAAGATCATTTTATTACTAATTTTTGTTGGTTTATCAAAAGGAACAGTTAATGTTTAATTTTTTTGACCAACTTTGCATGCTTATATCTGGTAATCTGAACAACTACTTTGAAGGTAACAGTATGCACTCTAATAACCATTGTTGATTTCCTATCATCTTGTTTTGAAATGCTGTATCATTTTTAATTTTTTTAAATTTTTATTCTTTTTAAAAGAAAAACAGTCTTAAAACTGCCATGTGATGTTTGTTCTAGACCACAGGGTGAAATAGTTTTTTAAGCTTTGAATTATCTAACACTGTATTCTCTCTGTAATTTCTATATTTTAGCTGAGAGAAGAAAAGGTACAGGAGGAGAAAACCTCTGAAGAGCAGATCCACAAGCTGTTACCAGAAGATACAGAAACAGGGAAGAAGAAAATGGATGAACAGAAAAAAAGAGATGAGCCATTAGTAGTAAAAACAAATCTGGAACATGTAAGTAGATCACCTTTGTGATGGACATCTGCCTCAAAAAGCAGCAATTAGTTCAGCTGACATGGATCTGAAAGTCCTATGTTGGTGGACTATGATACCAGTAACCATCATTAACTGTGTAACCTATGAATAGTGAAGAACTTATTATCCAGCTGAGAGTTGGAGAAAATAAATTTTGAATGGGACTTTGAGACTTGTGGAAAGATCAAGGGAACAGTGTGAAGAGGAGCCTAGTGTAATATACTATGTGTGCTATACGTCTGTTGTCATTTTTGACTTACATTTCAATCTTTGACATTTGAGTTTTATACATCTCTTATCTTCAACTAGATAACCTTAATGCTTTTATTTTCCTCGCCCTAAGCAGAACAATGCTTAAAGTATGTCCTCAATATTAGATACTTAGTCTAACTTAATCTAATTAGAGTATTATTTTAATTGGATCTAATCTTGCCTGAATTTTTTTCATATTTATCAAATAAATTACTGGCAAAGATTGTAATTTGTGTATTTAACTTACATAAGAAAGCACCTTTAGAAGATCTACTGATTACTCTCAAATGGGTGGATAATTACAATTGGGTCTTGTTTCTTTAATAAATCATACTGGATTGGACATCTACTGCTTGCAGTATGTACTGACATATCTTCGGAGTCATGTCTTTTTAAATACTTTGATTCAGACTTGTTATATTCATATTATCTTCTTAGTTGTTTTGGTGGTACTAGGATTAAGCCCAGGGCTTTTTCACTGACCTACATCCTCAGCCTTTTTTGGCACAGTCTCACTAAATTGCCAAGTCTCCTCAGTCGGGTTCAAATTTACAATCCTCCTGCCTCAGTCTTGCAGATTGGTGAGATTACAGGTATGTGTCCACCATGCCTGACTTGTTTTTGTATTTATGAGGACGTTTAAATGATCCTAATTTTGCTTTCAGTGTCTTAAGAGTGTTGTTTTGTTTTGTTTTTGTTGGTGAGCAAATAATTTCATTTAATTTAGCCACAGCTAAATTCAGATTGGGACCCCAGTGGTCCCAGTGCAAAGCCAGCTGGAAAGATTCTTTTTTGTACAGGGAGTACCATGATTAGTACCATGATTAGAATTGGACCAGTCATTTCACTCTCCTCCTCTAGCACCTCAGGGGTTCCACATTTCCCTTGGAATCAAATGAGAACTCTTCATTCAAGATCTTAAGTATAATTCTAGCTTATCTTTACATCCTTGCTTATATCCCAGAATTCTAGAGAGTAGAGCTGTTTGCTTTCTTAAAATTATATACCAGTGCTTTTCCTCCTCAGTGGGCATTTTTAACAGCTTCCCACTGAAAGACTGTTCCTCTCTCTGTTGAGTTCTCTTTCAAGTGACCTGTAGGGATTCCTCACTTGTTTCTCCACTCCTGTCATCCACTCTCCCTTCCTCACCCCCTATACTTTGTAACTGTCACAGAACATATTTCATTCTCCTTTACATTATTTATTGTTGAGTTTGTGTTTATGAGATTGTAAGTTTGTTGAAACGTGTCTTAAACCTTTAAAAATCTACTGTAGTACCTTGCAGATCACATTTCTGTATCTTTTTGTGAAATTAAACTTCAATGGAAGGAGGAAAGGGCTTATTCTAGAAGCAGAGACTGTCATTTGTTCTTTTTTTTCAGAGTTGAAATAAGATGGACACAGTGTTTATTGCAACATGTTATTTTGTAGTTAATACAATAATAGTGTGAGTTGTTGGAAAACAATTCAGTATAGCTATTACAGTTATGCTAGAGATTGTAAAGCTAAAGTGAAAAATTACTTATCCTACACACTTAGAAGTCACGTGCAAACATTTTGATAAATATCCTTCCAGACTTCTTTCCTAAGTGCATTATGTGTACACACTGTATTTTTCTTTCTTTCCTTTTATAACCTATTTTCAGTTAAATGTAAGTTGTGGATGTCTTTCCCTACAAATAAAGAATCCACATCATTATTTAGTGGTCTTCTAGCATTCCTGACTATAGAATTTACTTAACTAATTAATCCCCTGTTGATATTTTTACGTCTTAAACACCTATGATAAAATATAACTACCTCATTAACTCCTTAGGAATAAATTACTAAACATTAAATAATCATGTCAAAGGACTGTCTTCCATTGCCAGTCCTCCATACTAGAGACTGAACCCAGGGCCTTTGCACTCAGTGACACCTCCAGAGCCCTTTCCTTTATTTTTAGTATTTGATTTTGATGGCACTTGTTTTGATCTAAGTCATTAAGTTGCCTAGGCTGACCTCAAAGTTCTGATCCTCCTGCCTCAGCCTCCCACAATGCTGGGATTATAGGTTTGTGCCACTATGCATGGCTAGACATAGTCTTTTAAATGTTTTTATTACTCAGTTGTCCCTCAGAAGGTTTGTATATAATTATATTCCTTCCAGTGGTACATGAAAATACTAAACTAATTCCCTCACTGTTTGCTTACTGTGGTTGTTATTCTGTAAATTTTTTTACAGAATACTTACTGTAGACAGTAATTTTTTTAGATGTCACTGCAGGGATCCCATTTGTGCATGTTTTGTCCATTTTAAGAATCCATCGTGCTATAGATTTATTTTTATCCAAGATGAAAAGTAAATGTTTTCAACAATTAAAAGGAACTTGGCAAATGTTTATTGTAGTTTTTTCCCCCTTAATAGGTAATAGTATTTAAATTAAGAAAAGTAAAATCTATATTTTTATATTGTTAGCTAAAGTACTAGGTGTTTTTACTGGCTTATCAGAACCTGTATAATAGAGCAATCTTTATTTTATAGATGAGAAAACAGACTCAGGAAGATAAAGTGACTAACCTTCAGTGCCAGTGATAGTTAAATAAGACACCTGAGATTTAAATAGTCTTTTGCTTGGTACTGAGTTGATTATGAAGAGAGGCCAAAGCAGAGAGAAATTGCCATTATTAATACTCTGTTGCGTTTATTAATATCAAAAGTTTTTCTTTTTTCCTAGAGTTGAGAAGACAGTATTATGTGAAATTTGGTAATGGGTTAATGCTATTGAAGTTTTTCAATAAATATTTTATATAGTATCTCTAAAATATCATACCTTACAAAATTGTAGTTTCTTTGTAAAGTGTAATCCTCAACTCTTCTCTCAAATGCCAGCTGTTAGGGAATATAGCCTGTTGTGTGTATTGGACTATAAAATAAAGCATTTAAAGAGTGCAGAGTATCCTGACCTACATGATGCCTCATACACACATGTCTACAGCTTTCACCTTGTTAAGTATTTAATCACTAGATAACGAGTTAATCATGAGATGATTAGACATTTTTGTTTACCCAAAAAGGAAGTTTTAAAAGATGGTCCTTTGCTTCTGTAAAGCTTATTGTCTAATAAAGAAGATAGATTCCTAAACAAGAAGCTACAGTTCAGTGGAATTAATTGCTACCCATGAGTAGAAAAATATTCTCATTCTTACTGTGTAAAAGGCACACATAAAGAAATAGTTTGATTTTGGAATTTTGGACTTTCAGACATAGGTAATAAATACTATTACCTATTAAATTGGAAACTTCTAAAAAGGAACTCTGCAGGAAAATGGAAATAAATGAATGGGTCTAGACAAAATAGAAAAAAAATACTTGTAGGAGAATTTGGAAGCCTTTACAGAGAAAGTGACCTTTTAAAGTGACTGTGAAAAGCTAATATGTAGTTTATAGACAGAGAATGCAGATAGGGAATTTAAGGCAAAGGGAATAGCATGTTCAAAAGAAGAGAGGTTTATTTATTTATTTATTTATTTATTTTTATTTTAAAAATAAAAGGAGGAAAACATTAACAGACAACCTTTTACAAATAGCAGAAGAACAGTACAGACAATACAGAGTTACAAAGTGGCAGGAAATTAACAATGCTTGTTGTATTACATATTGATATCTTCAAAGTGGTTTCTCATGTAAACAGAGACATGCAATATTGATCAATCAAGGACTCATTAACAGTTTCTTTCAGCAAAGAAATAGAAGACAGTAGATCAACTATGTTAACTATCCTGTAAGGAATAGAGGTTTTGAAAAACTATGGTACGTGTAGAAAGTGAAAAGCAGTCTGCTCGTACTAGAGCTCAAATTCTGTGTGTAGGAACTGGTGGGAGAAAAGCCATGAAAGAAGGTTGAGTCTAGTTTGTGAAGACTGATGTATCAGGCTGAGATTGATGTATCTTGGAGTCACCAAGCAAGGGAGCAAGAGGATTCTCTGTGTGTTGAGAAGGTCACTCTTGGTAGAATAGAAGATACAGTATTTTGAGGGGAAAAAAACCCTGAAGAAAATGAGACCAGTAAATAGATTATTGCAATAGTTGAGAGAGAAAGTATTGAGGCTTTCAGGTAAGGCACCACTAATTAATATAAGTGGGAAGAGTTAGATCTGAGAGACATTGTAGGAGCAGAATAGAGTGGAAACAGCATGGAAACAGTTTGAAGATGGATGCTCTGAATTTAACAACTGTTAAGTTTTAGCCACTTATTAACTCTATGGTTCTAAGCAAATTAAGTACTCAGACTCTTCTTGACAATAGTGAAAGACATGGTGATAAATCTGTTTTAATGGGACAAAAAGAATAAATGAAGTAAATATTTAGAAATATTGGAGCACCCAAAACCTTTATACCAATGTTATTGTGACTTCAAAGTCATAGATGAGGTTGAGGTTTCTAGAGGGTTGGTAGTGGAGTTCAGAGAAAAGAAATAGTGAGTTTCATTTTGAATTTGAGTTACCATTTGATAATGGGATCTCTAGGAGGCATTTGGAAACTTAGATTAGAACTCAAGAAAAGTGACTTAGAGATTTGAACCTGTACCTCGGGTAGATTCTGTAGGAACCCCAAATAGACAAATCTTGTCTCCTTTATCTCTCTCCCAGTGCCTTGCACGTCTCTCAGATTCAGAGAATGAAGAACCTTCTCGAGGCCAGATGACACAGCCACATCGCTCAGCGTTTGTTTCCAAGAACAACTCCTACTCCATAGCTTTCCTGGCAGGGTAAGAAACTAATTCTGAATCCAGTCAGGGTTCTTTGATTTGCTGGTGTGAAATAAAAGGGACTGGGTGAACACAGGTGTTTGTTGTAGCTGCTTTGGGGGAGGTGGAGGACATACGAAGAAGCAGGAAGTAGCCTTTCAAAAAGGAATTAGATAGAAGGGCTGACCTAAATTTTTAAAAGAAGAGTAATATCTATCTATTTCTGGCACCCATGGGGTAGAATTGTGCTAATTTTTCTGCTGCAAAGTGTGAACCTTTTATCCTGGGAGGAAACAACAAAGTCTTCATGAGTGTGTCAGTATCCAGAATTTTCCCTGTGGGTTTTAGTGCTCCTAGTAGGATGTGAAGCCAAAGTCAGTTTCAAATGCCTATGTCTAACTATGTCTTCATGGGTTTCAGGGAGGAAAACTGAAAAGTTTTTAAGACTTTTGGTCTTTCGGACTTTGTAAGGCCCTGGTGAGGAAAGGAGGGACACAATGGAGGAGGCTAGTGAATGACTAGATGGAAGGAAGAGAGGATGAATAGAAGAAGGAGGGGAGGGGAAGGAAGGAAGAAAGGAAAGAAGGAAGGAAGGAAGGAGAGAGAGAGAGAGAGAGGGAGGGAGGGAGAGAGAGAGGAGAGAGAGAGAGAAAAGAAAGAAAGAAAAGAAGAAAGAGACCATTCATTCAGTAGAAATTTTGGGAACAGCTACAATATGCCATGCTTATTTTAATATGGAGCTACAAAGGCGCAGTGTTTACCCCATTTGTTTTTATTTTTTGGTTAAAGATAGCATTGCTCACCCTCATCCTTAAGGTTTATCTCCTCCTTCCTGTCAGTGCTAGGTAGTGGCTCTTTCTTATTGAGCCTGTGGACACACCCCTGGACCCTTTCTGTCCTAAAGATTTTACTGCTTATCACTCATTAATAAGACACAAAGAAACTACCAGAGTTTCAGAATATTAAAATGCTTACTACTGTGATTCCTGGTATAGGGTCCATTTCTGAATGCTTTCTGTGTATATTCTTTTTGAGTAGTTTGATTTTCTTCTGTTGAAGTGTTCTAAGAGTAATGAAATATTCCTTTCCCTTAAATTCCTCCCCCTCTCTAAGTAATGGCAGCTATCTCTCTAGGACAGCCCCTGCCAGAATATTTATTCACTCATTTGTCATTTGTTAAATAGTCATTGCTATTATCGCTAATTAAGATTAATTGATAATAATCAGGACCTAGTATGTGGCTGTCTTTGCCATTTATGATGAATATGGGACTGTTACATTTTGTGTATGAGCTTGAACTATGGATGCCCTCCAAAAGCGAAACACTAAAGATTGCTTTACTAAAACTTGCCACTGCCTGATTGTGTATATGAATCCCCCCTTTATAGTAGATGTATATTACTGATTATAAAAAGGATACAGCTGGGAATGGTGGTGCATCCCTATAACATCAGCTCCTTGGGAGAGTGAGGCAGGAGGATGGCAAGTTCAAGTTTAGCCTGTGTGACATAGCAAGGCACCATCTCAAAAATAAATACAATAAAAAAGGGCTCTACTGAAGAGAAAATCAAATCCGTCATTTTAACCAAGTCACAATGAATACTCCCTGAAGCTAATATTATTTTATGAAATTTATTATTTAAATCTCATAACAATTTGAAATAACCTTAAAAAATAAATTTATATTAAAATGTAAATTATATTAAATATTAAATATATATTATATTAAAATATAAATATCAAGGGAAAATTGCCCCAATTAGTTGGAAGAGGTATTGAGCAGGTGAATTATTTGTCACCAGTTCCCTTACCCTTGTACCCATATATAATTCATTCTTTTAAAGAGGGGTAGCAGATTTATATCATTACTTAAAATGCCTTGCAAATTTTTCTCTAATGGACAGAGGGATTGTGCTTTTGAGTATTTATGTCTTTGGAATTTTATTATATACTTACTTTTTCTTCTGTTAGCCCATCCTTGCTATACTCTTTGTCACTGAGCTACAGAGGGACTAATCAATAGGAAGCCTTTAGACTTTACTGTTGAGAGATATTTGTGACTGGGTGCAGGGTCCACACCTCTAGTTTCAGCTGTTTGGAAGAGTTGAAGCAGGAGGACTGCAAGTTTGAGCCTGGCCTGGGCAACTTAGCAAGGCCCTGCCTCAAAAGAAAAAATAAAAAGGGCTAGAGATATATAGCTCAGTGGTAAAGCACCGTTATCTCCAGTCCTCAGTGCTACCAAAGGGGAAAAAAAGGAAATATTTGTGAATTCTGTATTTCAGGGTTCATTTTCTTCCATTCAAGGTTGGATGAACTGAATTATTATTAACACTATTAAGACAATTAATTGGGTCCTTTCTGTCTGTGGACACCCTAAGAAGGATCTTTAGTCTCTCTTCTCAATGTTATCATGTCCAAGAGTCTCCCGAAGAGCCTAAACAGTTGTGGAAGCTCCTCACTAGAGAGTTCAGCTTTGAAACAATTGATTAAGCTCTTGGGAGCCCTTGTGAGCAAAGGGGAACATTCCTAGACTATAGTAATGAGTGCTCAGAGGTTTTGGGTTCATCACTTATGCTACGGTGGAATATATGGATGCAGCCATGAGTACAAGGCCCATACAAGGTGGATGGAAGAGTTTGGAGCCAAAGAGCACTGTGTCAAGAGAAGATTCTCCAAGGCCAGGTACCCACTTTTGTGGAAAGGATCTTTGTTCGTGGCATTAAAGAAAATACTTAAGAACATCACCTAAGAGATTTTTTGAACAGTAAGGAAAATTTGAAGTGATGAAATTCATGACTGACCAAGGGAGTGGCAAAAAGAAGGCCTTTGCTGTTGTTGCCTTTGACAACCATGGCTGAATAGTAGTGTTGTGCAGAAATACTATATTGTGAATAGCTACAGCTATGAAGTAAGGAAAGCTCTATTGAAGCAAGAGATGGTTAGTGATTTGTCTAGACAGAGAGGTCACAGTGGTTCTGGAAACTTTGGGGGTAGTCATGGAGGTGGTTCTAGTGGCAATGATGACAGCTTTGGTCATGGAAAATATTCAGTGAGTATGGTCGCCTTTGTCGCAGTTGTGTTAGTAGTGCATATAGTGGTAGCAGGGTTGTGGGCTAGGGCTGGGGCTAGTGACCATGTTGAAAAACTTTTATATTGTGAAGTTGCTTATTAGCCTTCAATACATTAGCAATATCTTATGCTATAGAGTCTATAAAGTTTGTGTTCTACTCAGTAGAAACTAGCCATAGCTATATAATTTTGTTTTCTAATGTCTAGGTGCTATAAGCCAGAGACTGATTCAGAGTGTGGCACATTAGGAGATCCACAGTAGCTGTGCTTTCTTCAAGTTGTGTGTATAAGGATAGAGATAGACTGACTAGCAAAGACTCAGTGATGCTAAATGAATGCCTAATCACTGTTGGAATGAATTAAAAATACAGATCCCCTAAGAAATATATCCTTCTTCCTTAAAATGAACAAATGGAATGCAAAAGTTCTCAAGTAACAGCAACAAGGCAGACACTTAAGGGGTATTATATGGGAGAACTAACTCTAGAATTGATGAAGGCCAGCCCTATCCTAGGGAGGATTAGGAGGGGAAGTAGCAGTGTGACCTGGAGTGAAACAGTTGACCTCCATTTGTTTCATCTTTGTAAAATGGAGGTTGTTATTCCTTACCTCATATCACTTAACTGTTGTATTAATCCTGCAGACTTTTAATACTCTCATTTGTTTTTTGGTTTTTCTCCGGTACCGGGAACCGAACTCACGACCTTGCGCTTGCCAGGCAGGCGCTTTGCCGCTGAGCTAAATCCCCAGCCCCTCGGCTATCCTTAAAAGGGAGTTGCTACAGAGATAGAGCGTGTCAGGAGATGGACTCTTTGTAAACTCCGTCCTGGGCCTCTGTTTTCCCCAGCTGTTTG